GATGGGGGGGCGGTATCCCCTCATCCCAGCCCATACCCTCTCCAATCCGGGACCCCTTGGGGGATGTCCAACCACAGGTTTAGGTCTGATTTTTTATTGATTCTTAGAGTGTAGGGTACTATTATAGGTAATGGGGGTAACACAAATCTGGGAAAAATTATGATGACACTGCAAGGATAGTCTTTGCTCTAAGCTGTGGATTTTATCACCCATTTACAAGACTGTAGACTTTAGTGCTGATAATTCTATCTCAAACTGGCTGTTGATTGTTTTTTGTATAGACAAGGTCTTAGTTACATTTTCCTTAACTTGTTGTACAAACTGAGAAGGTTGAACAGTTTGTACCATGGATGAAGCAGCAATGCCCACAGAAGTAAGTAACATTACAAGGGCAAAGATTCCTGCAATTAACATCCCAAGAAATCTTTTTTATCATTTTAAGATTTTTACCAGATCATGTAACAGTTGGTAGGTTTGATGAGATTTCCAAGGCTCAGTTAGGTTAGTAGGAACCCAAGTGAAAGCAGGTTGTTTTAAAATCAAGAGGGAATCTTTTTGGAATGTAGAATTAATACAATGTGATAGTGTGTAGCTTGTGCATGACATCTCATACAGATGGCTTGTAGCATTAAGGCACATCTGGATGGGGCCTGAGAGGAGTACAAACATTTCCAATACATAGGCGGTAGCAAATACTGTCTTATTGGGAGTTCCCCATAAGGTATGAATGGAATTATCTGAGCTCTAGTTAAAATTATACCATTTAATAGGTACAAGTACAGCAGCTAATTTCCATTGCGTATTTTTTAAGGGCCAATTGTCATGTTGTAATTGAGATCCAACAAATCCTCCTCCATACCATGAGATGGAGTGATTAGCTTCAACATATAGATAGGATGCGGTCCCCTTCCATTTTAGGATGTGATTGTTACTATATGCAGACCCGTAGGGGCTCCAATCCACAAAGGAAAAACTGTTATTAAGTTTGCTGCTGGTGGGGTGGTCACTATAACAGTCTTTCCAATTAATTTCTTCCTCGGTGGGGTGCCATTCATAAAATTTTTTACTTAATGGCTTAGTGGGCAGGGGATGTCTTAGTAAAGTTACATTTTCTGTACCTCACCCTGGAACAAGTAGTGATAGTAGAGTATTTGGGCTTTAGCTTCCCCCTTCTTTGGTGTCCATGCTAGCCAGAAGCCTCTCTTTAATTCTACACACAAAGGAGCAGTAGCTTGATTCTGTCATACAAAAGGGAAGCTGGGTGGCGACACTGTGTAATTATACTTTGCCCCTATACTTCCTTGTCCCACCCGTGGTCCTCCAGGATGACCAAGGAGTTTGGTATCATTGGTGACTACATTAGGCGGGGAATCAGCCCACTTAAAGGGTCTTACCCGTGGAGGGTCAGGAACATAAGTCCAATATACTTTCCCATTTGCCCCCGGTAGTATTACCACACAGCTGATGACTGCTAGCATGGCAAGAAAGACATTCTCAGGCGTTCATGGAGTTCTGGTCTTCTCACAACTTCACTCAGCTTTCTGGACCATCTTCTTCACTATGCCCCAGGTCACCTCCAGGCTATTTGTGGTCTGCCTCGTTCTCCTCCCACTCTTATCTTCAGTGGGTTGCTTGGGGCTGCTGCTATCTGTGGCTAGGGTAGCTGATTGTTTGCACCTTCAAGGCATGGCTCCAGGTGCAGGGTCTTCATTGATCTGGCCAGTTCCTCCCTCAGATCCATGAAGTATAATATTTCTTGCCAGAATCCACACGGGCTTAGAGAAGTTTTCTGGAAATATACAAGTGTATCCTCAACCAATGGTACTAGGGGGTCAGAGCCCTTCCATAAACCAGACTTGGGATCTATCCATTTAACCAAACCATTTTCCTTTGACTTATTCTGATACCAGTGTATTTCCATGGGTGTCCTGCCATCAGCATTACAAGTGAAAAAATTTAAAATAATTAAGCCCCTTGAGGCAGATGTAACATGCAAGTGGAACATTCCTTGATAATGTGTTTTGCCTGCTGTCGAGTGATTGAGAATAGTTTAGACATTTTGGCAGGCTGATGAGATTCTGTGGCCTGTTTTAATAAAGCAACCAATTGATCAGCATGTGCATTTCCTTTTGTTAAAGGGCCAGGTAATATGCTATGAGCCCTAATATGAATAATATAGAAAGGGTATTGTCTCCGTTGTACAATCTGCTGAACTTGTTTAAATAGTATAAGTAGACTTTGGTCACTGAGCCATTTTAATCGAGCAGTTTCAATTCTATTCACCAGGCCTGCAGCATAAGCAGAGTCAGATATAATATTAAGAGGCTCTTGGAAATCCTGCAATGCAGCCTTGATAACCTCTAATTCAATTCTTTGCACAAAAGTATAACTGATCAGGATGACTTGGTCTGAATTCATCATATGATAAGCAGCTTTACCATTAGATGATCCATCAGTAAAAACAGTTAATGCTCCAGGAATAGGTTCCTGCCTAGTATTTTTTGGTATAATAATGGGAGTATAATATAAAAATTGTAGTAATTTGT